ACCTACATAATATGTATAACTCAAAAAAGTCAAAATATTTTAAAATTATATCAATATACCATGTTTAGGAAATGATAATATAATCGAATACCTATCATACGTATTTTTCGTATTTTAATTACAAAAAAATAAGAAAATGTTTGATGATAAACACGATTCTATCAAATTTTGTCGAAATAACTTCAAACGTCTATAAAAAAAATTGTATAAATAACGCTCAACTTTTTTTCTATAATTTTTCTATAATAAGTTATTTATATTATATTACATATTCGAATATTATATATGAACATTAAATATTTTTTGAATTTGAATTACACAATAATTTGTTGTTTTTTTTTTTTTAAGTACTTGGAAAAGTTTATTTTTTGACCCCTCTGCCCCGAATTGCCAACTGGTAACTTAATCCAATTCGCTATCAGAAACCAACATAAAAATTAAAAATTGAAATATTTTTCTCCTTCAAATGTGATGAGTACTTGATGAAGCAAAATGTTAATACAAAAGATTTGACACCAAATTACCTMTCCATTCTAATCCTCTTATAAAAAAACTATCYACCTTGTCCATTCCAGGTAATCCCCCAAGACGGCTTAAACGAAGATAGTGTCGAGATCTTCTATTACAAATTTAAAATGTCTTAACTTAATTAACCAAAAAAATTAAAATTAAAACTCAAAATAGGTATAGTGTCACTAATGGGTGGCTTCTTCTTTTAAAATATTCATGTTAATTACTCTGTGCACATCATTCGCTTATTGTTCTTAATAAGACAGATAGTAAWTTTYTTATAAAAATAAATTTWAAAAAAGTGGATGTCGCKYTGCTGTACATTAGGTGGTGAGGTGGACCTCTGGCTAGGGTAGGTTAGATTTGAATGCAATGATAGGTATCATTATTGTATACGAAAAACGTTTCTAAACGGAGAAGATTTGTCAGTCTAGGTTAATATATTATATTTAAATATTGTCATATACGAGTCTATTTTGAAACAAATATTTTATTTTTCAATTANAAATAAAGAATATTATAGTTTATATTATTATTATGTTGATATAATCATACTATATTTATCGAAAAGAGTGACATGAATTATGATGAGCGATGATCACGATTACCATCGTCGAGAATAACAATATACCTAATACTTATTGTATTAATTATAGACATATAATGTTGATGCGTGCATTTGACCTAATAAACTAATTTCTACCAACCTAGTAAAAAATTAATATAATGATAAAAATCAAAATAAATTGAGAAATTGTGTTGTATATAATATATATATATTGTAGTCCGGGAAAAGTTAACCTCATCCAAATATATAATACAATATATATTACTAATCAAAAATAATAAAACGTTTTATWTAAATAGATTGACCCGGTTTTTCACGTAAATTACGTTTGACAAGCTCGGTATAACTAGGTAAATTAAATATCTACAATTGGTACATTAATACGGTAAATTAATTTAATTCAAAATTTGATCGAGTAATTTCTTAATTTTTTTAAATTGTTGCACTAAGGAATTAGGATAACTTTAGAGAAATACATTATCAATGAAAAAAGGAGAAAAGTATATAAATGCTCGTCATTGAGCTTGAGTAAGTTATTGTAATGTATGTGTTCAATTCAAATTCAGTTACAATTCATTACCTACGAAAAACAGTTCAGATTTTTTTAATGTTCTAAATTACTCGCGTTTAGATATAGGTAGTGAAATAAACGTTAAAGTTCAAAATTTCCTCGAAAAATATTTTCGAATCAAAACAAAATAACTTAAACATCGTTATTATTAATTGTTGAATATCTGACCTTATCCTAATTTGAACTAAAAATGAATCTAAAACAAATTTTGATTAAGTATTTATTTTTTCAGATTTTTCAGATTTTTGAATTTCAGTATGGATTACTAATAAGAAACTCTATACCACGTTTTTAAGTCTTATCTATAAAAATCTATTTTATAAACTTTCAACAACCAATAAAATAACTTGCACATTT